ACCTAAGAGGTAGGCAGTATCGCAATACCAGACGATCAGAGATCACAGCAACTGCCAATCGTCTGTGGATTTCTAAACGCAAAGCAGTTGCCTGATCGGTGGTGTACACACCGTGAAACACACTGGAGATATAGCAAATCACTTTTTAAACACACATTTTAAAAAATTGAAAATGGATGTCCCGAGATTTGGGTTTAAAAAAAATATTCTCATTGTTTCCATCCTGTTTCAGCAACGAAAGCTGAGAGAAAGTACTCAGTTTCTACTGAGCAAAGAGTTTAGAGACTGTCTTTTGATTTTTAAAAAAGGTAGGAGGGGAACAGAAAATGGAACAAACAAAAAAATGAACAAGCCCCATATGGTCAATAGACTATTCATGAAAATACACTCTAGTAACAGGAAATAAAAGGAAAAACCTGGAGTGCAAAAAACAAAACTTAAATTGAGCTTTCATTTAAATAAAAAGTCTGACACACAGACACATATTTAAATTGTATAGCCCTGTGTGTGTGTGTGTGTGCATGCGTGTTACCTTCGCTCTTCTCCAGCAGCGCTGCGATGACAGCTTCGTCCTCTATAGGGTTGAGTGAACAGGTGGAGTAGACCATCCTCCCTCCCACAGCCAGCTGTTCGACGCCGCGCACCGCGATACGCAGCTGGAGCCTGGTGAACACACACACACACAGTAATACTGCCACTTTTTTTAATTAGCACCAGAAGAACACACTCCATTCCCTTGTCGTTTAGTCAATTTGGTCTACCACACGAGTGCATGAATTCCTGTGTTGTCAGGAAAGCACAAACGCAGGCTCCCCCCCCACTCACCCATGGAGGTGCAGGCTGTTGCTTGTCGTCCACTTCTTCCACACGTCTATGTTCTTCCTCATGGTGCCGTCCCCGCTGCAGAACACAGAGCACACAGCAGCACCAGTCAGACACAAACCCCTGGTTCGGCCCAAGGCACTGAACCCACCATAGATCCCCGTCACTTCTCACAGGGCAAAAGTGTCTGCCAAGAACAAACTGTCTAAACACTGGGCTTTAGCTGACTGCTCACATCACTGCTGCCTGCTTGCCTGCCTGCCTGCCTGTCTTCATTACGGCTTTTCCTCCCCTCCCTCTTCCCTATGTTGTGTTTGGCAGGGCCTCCTGGCTTCAGCACTACAGCTGGCCAAACTCAGGCAGCATTTGCAAACAAACGCACTTCTGTTTTGGCCATAAAATGATGCTAGATTTCAAGTGAAGAAGGATGTTTTACTACTAAGCCTGTACTGAAACATTGAGAACAAAACACGTTTAACAGCCATTTATAAAAGAACTGTAAATACCCTGCGTTTGACAGAGAGGGTAAAGCCTCATCTCCATCTGTCGCACAAAATCTCTTCTCCAGCCCAACAACCACACATACAGCGGGGCTTTTAAACCATATTTCTTTTTTTATCCACTTCCTCCTCACACTTCCAAACCCTAACTTTCGCTCAGTGCTGCAATACTGCACGCGGCCGTGATGCAGACACAAAGTCCAGCGGTGCTTTGCTGACCTGCAGGGCACGTCGCACAGGATGCGGTCGTAGAAGAGGATGTCCTTCTCGCCGCTGCAGTCGATCTTGAGCGTGGGGATGCAGGAGGCGTCGTGGTTGACCACCATGATGCAGGGGCTGTTGAGACGCTTGGCCTGGTGGACAAGCAGGTAGCAGCGCTTGTTGTCCACGTCATTGGCAATGACAAAGCCCTCTGGAGGGTAGAAGAGTAGGTTGGAGAGATTATTGTTTGTTTACTCCCTCGATTACTCTGGCATCGTTCCTGGTTTTAAATGTTTAGTTGTTTTTTTTTTCTTACCTGGAAATGGCACATCCATGTCGGCGTGGAGCATCTCAATGAGCTGGGCTGTCTTCGAGCCTGGAGCTGCACACATGTCCAGTATCTGCACGCAAACTCATGCATGTGAACACTTCAATTTCACTTTCAATCAAATGTTTTTTTGAAGAGGACTGTTTTCAAGCCATAGGGAAGGAGTCTTACAAGGGAGAAAGAATAATAAATAAATAATGCATTAAGCGCTGGCGGGTGTACTGGCCTTAACCTTCAGAGAGGGCAGTGCTTTTACCTTGTGGTGGGACTCAATCTTCAGGAGGAGAGGAGGGATCATACTGACAGCTTCCTGTCGGCTGATGTTACCCTGCAAGGACAAACACAAAAATGATGCGCGTCTCTTCATCTCTCTGACGACTTCTGACATTGTGCTATCCTTGTTTTTTTTTTCCAACTGCCTACCCAGGGTACATTTTGAGAACATGGCCAATATTAAAAACTGCCATGCTCCTGTTAAAAGTTACCGTCTTTAGCGGGGCCTTTAATAGGGCCACAGGTGTTACTTATAACTCTTCTGTTTGGTTTGTGTTTGACTCACCGACTCCGTCTCGCTGACCAGGAACTGGTGGAACTTCTCCAACAAGGGAGACTTCCTAATGATCTTCCTGCTCATGTTGGTGTGCCAAGCCTGCTCGTCGGGATACCTGGAGAGGATAGGACACAGTGTGTGCTGAGATTCTACTCTGAACCTGTGTCCTTTGAGCCTTTGGTAAACCATGAGATCTTACCAGCTCAGAGGCTGCGGAGCCTCCATCTTCTGGCCATCGATATCCAGCTCTTGAATATCTTTAAAATATTTCTCCTTCAGACAGTGGAGGATTTCCTTGGCATGGCTGGAAAAAGACAGAAAGCGGATGAAATTGGGCATGTAGTAACAGAATAAGGCGGCAGTAATCCAACATTACAAATCAAATTAATTCGATAGCTCAGGTCTTTATTGCCCCTTAAGGGGAAATATGATTTACCATAGAGGACAAAAACACAAACACAACATACAAGGAGACATTGGACATTAGTCACAACCAGTACAGTACACAGCATCTGTACTGTTAAGTACTCAATGCATGATGTGCAAAGTTGTGAGTCTACTTCTACATCTAGATTTTTGTTCATGCCTTACTGTCTCATCTATCGTCATACAAACTTAGTTCAAAAGCACTTTTATCAATTAAAGCCAAATGACATGATCTAACTGTTTTCCTCCGCTATATATCCATAATGAATCTTAAAATAAGGGCTTTATTAATGGTTATGTGAGGTGGATGTAGGCAATATTTTCTTTTTGTGCTCTGAAAAATGAGAATTCAAAAGTTGACAAATGTACAACAGACAAAACCGTACAGCCTATTACATTTCTTAACATTTGAGCAGTATCTTCGGACAAGTAATCCTACTAATGCAAAAAAAAGAGTCTTGAAAGCTGCTCTAAGGGGTGTGTATACTAGACAGAAAGAAAGGCACCTTGATTTTACATATCTTGCGTGGTGCTGAACAGGACACATTTTACCAACAAGACAAAGAGTCTGAATCCAGGTTATAAATCTGTGCAGCTCACCTCTTGTATCCGGTGATGCGGATGGTTGCTGGCAGCGGTTCCCTCATTGCCTCCATGAACTGTTCAAACTCTCCATCAGGCACCAGGCCTTGTTCCTTGTAGTAGTGCTCAAACAGCTTATTCTCCTTGACTATGTCAGCATAGCCAGCTCCCCAGCCCTGAACACATGGATGCAAAGGTTATTAGTGCGGGCATACATGGTGAATATAAAAACTGCCTTTCTGTACAGAATAACTGGAAAAGCGCCTACTGGATGGGGATGCAATCGTTTGTGTATAAATAAAAATATATACATTGAATGTCATTCAAAATTCCATCAATTTAACTTTTTCTTGCTCACGGTCAAGGGTAAATAAAGTGTAGAACATGTCATACGACCTGTTGCATTTTAGTGTGACCTAATGGTCAATTCGGCATGTAGAAATCCTCAAACAGTACTTTTCAATAACATTCCTGAGAGCCCTTTTCAACCCTACCTGCTTCTTCCCCTCACAGCGTTTTGATAAAAGAACATCAGACTTGTAAGAGGTAAACCAAGATCATGCAAACACAAAATTAACACATTTCTGAGCAAAGTCTGGTGAAGCACAACAATCTCTCCAGACAAAGACAAACAGGCATCTGGACTGAGGTCTACCGGTGGTCACACATGGCTTTGAAAATAGCTAAGTTGACGGCAGCTAACAACAGTCAAGCTCTCTGGTGCTGCAGCTGTTTAGCAGTGTCACAGCAGCACGACTGCACACGTTTATTAAAGATAACATGTACGACCCCTCGCATTTAGTAAACAAAGACCACATGTGGCCTGACTGAGCCCTGTAGACCTAACATTAGCAAGAGTCGCTGCAGCAGCCATATGAATCTTACAGCGTTGTCCCTGTCGTCCCTGTTGTCCCTGTTGTCTCTGCCTGCAGGCTGGTTCTTCTGCCGCTGCCTGCTTCTTTTCCCCATTTTAGAATAGCAGAGCACTTTGAAGAGAAGTCCGCGGATCAGCGTGGTGGTACAGTGCAGAGGAAAGCGACTTGGAACTGGGACAAGATGTAGCTGTAGTGATCGCTGGAGGATGGGCTGCTGTGCTGTGTATCCACGAAACGTGTTGCCTCTGACGCACGTGATTCAGGACCTTTCGAGGTGGCCGCGAAATCTGCCTGAAATAAAGGAAAACATCTCAGTTCGGAGCATTTCGTGCGATTTTTTTTTAAATTATATATCTTAATGTGATATGAAATCCTTACACAGTGAAATAATTATTGTAACAATGCTAACTTATCTTGTTTATTTCTTTTTTTGTGTTGGCATTAACAATTTGTTCCAGTTATTCGTTAATTCCAGTTTGAATATCACATAAAATAAACTATAGTGACGCTTGTTCGTCAGTACAGTGAGCCACTAGTAACCGGTAATGGCTTACAGCGTTAGATATTATATGCAGATGAATCTATGAATATGTATTAGCGTCATCAGACCCCCACGACCACAGACACTACGGTTGAATAACTTCGATGCTGAACGGAGCATTTTGATTGGCTGATGAGATCCGATGCCATATCTGTTCACGGACTGTGATTGGTCCTGGGTGGGACATCCATGTGTCGTCAGTGGCTTTAGCTAGTTAGGTTACAGAGCATACTGTCAAATAGTTGCAATCATTAGTTACATTTACATTATTTCTGCTTTGAGTTTTGTAACAGTAGCCCCGCCGCCATGATGGACTCCCTGCTCTCCAGGCTTTTCTCCTCGGAAAAGGAGGAGCTGTACATTTTAGACTGCATGGCTTACTGTATGGTTTTCATGGCAGCCTGCACTTTTGTTACTTTGCTTTTCGAAAATGTCCCGTACGGCCGATATGCTAGCAGCAAATATGGATTCCCAGTTGATGCCAGGTTTGCGTGGTTCGTCCAGGAGCTGCCTGCGTTCCTGGTGCCAGTGTGCCTGCTGGTATGGACGTCCTGTGCGAAGACCTCGCTGCTGCCCAACCAGCTGCTCATTGCTATGTATTTGTGCCACTACGTTCAGAGGTAGGAGATGACAATCAGTGGAGGTGCGCTGTATCTTTTATTACATCAGTAGTTAACTAATTCATGTCAGTATGTCAAAGCAAGCATTTGAACTGAGTTGTGTGAATAACATTTTGGTTCTGCTGCAGATCCCTCATTTATCCATTTTTAATCAGAGGAGGTAAAGCGACACCATTCGCCTCATTTGCCCTGGCCATTGTTTTCTGCATCTATAATGGCTACATGCAGATCAGGTACCTGAGCCATTATGCTGAGTACCCTGCACACTGGGTTACACATCCATGCTTCATCGCAGGTAGGTGTTCTGTGAATGGTTTTATTTTGCACAAGAGCTTGTCTGCCCCCTTTTTTCTGTGTAAAAAAAATTATGAAGTATTTTAGGCTAGCAGGCCAGTTTGGAGACAGTTTAAGATTAATTTATTAATCCTGAATAACAGTGTGCTCTTATTTTGAAATGAAGGCATAATGAGATGAAAGTTGAAACCATGATCACCATTAATATGATTGGCTGAGTGCTGATCATGTGATGTGCAGGTATATGATGTGGGTGTGTTGGGAACCCTCCCAGCATGCACTGTGGCAGTAGATTTAGGTCTTATTTCATATGTTCTTGCATTGTATGGTGTTTCGTGTTTCCACACTTTCGTCACTGTTAAAGATTAGATATTACCAGTGAATGTGGTTAGAGTATGACTGATGCATGATGGGTGGAGGTTCTCAATGAACGCCCAAGAGACTTTTAATTAATAGTCATAAGCCTGCTATTAAAGAAATTAAACCTCACTAAAATCTCTTAAAAAGCTGATTTAATTGCATGACCAATTTTCTGCAAAATGAGTTCTGCAGTTAAACATTTAATAAGTTTTAGCGTTTTAATAACAAATGGCAAATGAAATGCCAGATGTCCTGGTTTAATTGTTCTCTTAATAGTCAGATTCTTTCAGTTCAGTTTATTTCTTTTTTCTCACAGTATTTCAGACTATTCCTTTTTGGTTACAAACTTTTATTTGATTTAGTTTTATCATGTATAATTATAGGTAACTTGACATTTTAATTGTGAAAATGTTCTAGTAACCTGCAAGTTTACATCTAAAATCAAAATGTGTATCATATCAACACTCTCTCATTATAAATTGAAGAAAGTGAGCCATTTGCATTTTAAATGAGTTTGGTATTCAGCCTAAAACGTCTTTATCCAGCAAACTGTCAATAAGCCTTCACTTTTACTTGTTTGGGCTTAAGGACAACAGCTCCGGATCAACTGTAAACCAGCTTCAAATAACCTAAAGATCTTAAATTGTCAACATTCTCATCTAAATAACTCAGTTAGCTAAATCCACTATTATTAAAATAATAAAGTAAAAGTAAAAAAGTACTTGGTTAAATACTCAAAGTAGAAGCTACTGTGTGTTTTAATATTGTGTAGTGTGTGCAGTGCAGATTAGTGTAAAACAAGATGAAAAATAGCTGGATAAGACACAGTTTGATAAATGAGGGAGGAATGGATGCACAGTCAGGAATACAACAGGATCCCTACTCCTTGCTTCCATCCCGTACGCCTTCTCTTGCTCCATTTGAAATGAAATGAAATGGCAAGGCTTTGCTTAAAAACATAGCTGCCATTCAAACTGTTTTGTCATCTCTTGGCTTTTGTTCCACTCCAGGTGCTTCTCACGCTTTCCAAACCTCAAAGGTGCGCAGCAGTTTTTCTTGGCTCCGTTCGCTGTTTAAGCTAACTGAGGAAACTGTCAATTTAGAATATGTGTTTTTCCACTATCACTGTCCCTCCACTCCCTTTACACTCCCTATCAAACCTTGCATCTGCAGCGGATAAAGACCAGCCTAACACAATATTAAAATGTAGAATTACAGTTTTAAAGTACAGTTTACTCATTTATTCCCAACATTTTACTACCCACCTTTGACAGATTTCCATACAGATGGCATATGCAGTACATATATTATTGACTTTCTGAGCAGCTTGTGTAAATGTGACCTAGAGCTGGACAATACACCAAATATATTGAATTACCAACATTATGATATCCTAATTTCCATTTATTTATTTAACCTGAAATTCAATTCAGTTCAGACTTCTGGAACCAGGCTGATGTACAGAAGTTAAACTGATCAGTTTAAATAGCCCAGTCTGTCCACAGTCCAACAGGTCACAATGTAATTAATCGGGACAAACAATGTAGAAATATCATGTACGTATGTTTATTTTTTAAATACTAATTATCAGTTTGAACGTTTCTCATGATTTAGAGCTTAGGTTATAGAAAGTCCTAATATAACCATGCTTATAAAAATATGATATCACTGGCTTATAAGTATGTATGTAAATAGGTTTATTTTTTCCCATTGTTGGTCACAGCAGCAATGACACTGAGGAATGTACATGCTGTAACTTTTATAGAAATGTTCAACCTTATGCTAATTTGCTCTCTTTCTGAGCATTAGGTGAGAAAACCTAACTCCGAGCGAGCTCTGTGCATGAAGTAAATGAAAGCTATTATCTGAGATTAGCATAAAGAGTTGAGTCAGGGGGAAACACAGATATGAGTTATATTGATCTGTTAATCTCACTCTTGGAAAGAACACAAATAACAGTATTTCCCAAAATGTTTGAAGCATTCCCTTTGAAAACATAAGTCGGCTGACTGGCTTCTGGTCAGTAAAATGTCGTGCTGAAGCAGCTTTTGGTTGGTCCGTCTCCAGGGTCTGTTCTGTGGTTGGTCGGTTGGCTGGTGAATGTGCACTCTGACCACATCCTGAGGAACCTGAGAAAGCCCGGAGAGACTGGTTACAAGATTCCCACAGGTAAGGGCTTTAGTCAGGAAACACAGACCACAGCGAAAAAGTCTCACTATTTGAGTGACTCCTATTACAGTACATGTAAACTTTACAGAGAAAAACTTGAGAAGAGTTAATAATACATAAAAAATATAAATAAAATACATTTATACTTTGACTCCACCACCTTTTACTTAGTTTCTTCACTGTATATGATGGTTGTAGTCACTTTTTAACTGGAGCCAACCTCGACAGTATACAATTAAAATACTTATATTTAACAAACTGAATGGGAGCATTCTTCAGAGTGAGTATTTTTAATTCTGAATCCAGGACATTTACTCTAAAAGGTGCATTTTACATTGCAATGCTGCTTCTAGTTAGCTTTGGAGTTTGAATCCTTTTTCCACCAGCGCTGTGGGGTGACAAGAAAGTCAAGAAAGCAGTAATCACATCATGGCACAGAACTCTGTGGTCTTTCTGCGCGGCGCTACATGCTAATTTTCCAGTGTGGTCGCATGATTATACAGGATCACACTGTAAGCAGAATCACAGGTTGTCAGTAGTTATCTTTTCCTCTGTCAGCCCTTACATTAGTGTTCTAAAAAGGTTCTCTCTGCATTGACTCTAATATGGTCCAGCTCAGCTCGCGTGTCAGTGACTCACAATACTTGTAGTGTTTGTGTGTGCAGTTTAGCTTTGCTTGATACATTGTCTAAACCGCACGGTGTTGATAGTTATCATGTGAGACAGCAAGCCAGCCCAATACTGGAATATGCACATTATATGTCTCTAGAGACTAGAGATTAGCCTATGGACTATAAAAAAAAGGGTTGATGTTATCAACTCTACACTCATATTTTGTAGTAAATGCTTATTTATCACGAGGCAGTTCAATTATTCTGCTAGTGCGGATGCAGTGATAACCGCTTTCAGTACAAAAAGTAAATAATGTATTAAAGGAGCAGTTCGGCAAAGGGCTTATTTGCTCGATACCAACACTTGTGTTTGTACGGTAAATATGAAGCTACAGCCAGCAGCCGCTTATCTTAACCTAGCATAAACACTGGAAACAGGGGGAAACAGTTAGCCTGGTGATAACATCTCCCTGCCAGCACCGCTAAAACTGGCTAATGAACGTGTTATATCTGGTTTGTTTAATCCTGGCAAAAAAAGAAAGGATAAATACTATACTATATTTCCATTAGATTCTGTGACAAACAAAGGTTTATGATCTTTACTGGTTTTGTTCAGCAAGATAATCTTCTAGTGATAATAATACTACTCACCAGTGTTATTATAGTTCTAGTTATATTTTCCATAGGTTTAATTCTTATTTTGTTTTTTTAATTATTGTTTTCAGTTCAGTTTAGTTTCAGTTGGTTTCCAGAATGGGTTTGCTTGTTCCAGTGTAGTTTGATTTATTTTTTAAAATGTTGCGTTTTACTTTAGTTATTGTTAGTTTCACTGTTAGATTTTTTATTTATTATTATAATATGGGGGTATTTGTTAGGGGCAAGATTTGAGAATACAATACAAACACACTGACTCACCGCAATGTAGACATCCCAGTCTTAATAAACATGTGCACCAATGCCACCTTGTGCTTGTTGTGTTGACTAATTTGACCAAAATTGACAGAGACTAAAACTAAAGACATTTCCTGTATATTTTTATTTTATTTTAGTTAGTTTTGTAAGTACACAATATTATTTCAGTTTTTTTTTTCTTCTCATGTCTAGTTTTTTATTTTTATTTCAGTTGAAAGGTTTTTTCACACCGGGTTTTAGTTTTCAGTTTAGTTTTAGTTGATTACTATTCACTGACCCTACGGATGAAAGAAGATGGTGGATATTTTTACAGTGTATGACCTTTACTACGTGAAAATGGATGCACGGTTTATGAGATGTGGCAAGTTCGGGGGTGGGGTTGGGTAAACAAGACTTTTGGCCCATCTCCAAATTCCTTTTGACAAACCACCTTAAGGGTATTATGTATTGGAAAAGCAAAACAAAATCTATATAGCAGCTTTTTTATATCACATAATTGGCAAATTCAAACCATAAGTTGGATCTCTTCCTTTGCTAAATGAATCAGTAATCATAACAGGTTCACAGAGAGAGAGTGGCTCCCCTGACCAGGAGCATAGTCACAACAATAGCACCTTCAGCGTGAACTTGCAGCGAACCTGTTCAAACAATCCAACCTGGACCCTTAAGGAAAATAAAGTGGAGAAGGCGAGGTGGGAGGAAGCTGTGCACCGCGCTCCTCCAAATGAACTTCCAGGCACGTCTGGAATCCCCTCAGCCAAGAATCTGCCATTTTCAAATAGAGTGTAGCAACGCCGCGTCCTGCAGACTAATCGTGGGTGCTCAGCCGTCTGTGGTCAGCGTGGAGCTAGTTCTGCAGATGACCTTTGAGGTTTTAGCAGCGCGCCAACTCAAAATTACACTGCGAGATAGTTGAAATGCCAGTTGTCATTCAGTCATTCATGAATTCTAAGTGAAAATCCATCACAATTTATTTTCTTCAAGAGTAAAATATTTGGGTTGTTTTTGCTTGGGTGAACATATGAAAGGATGCGCATACCTGTCCTTATTCCTGTCTCCTTCACCTGCAGGCGGAATGTTTGAGTATGTGTCTGGAGCCAACTTCTTAGGAGAGATAACAGAGTGGGCAGGCTTCGCTCTGGCTGGCCACTCTGTTCACAGTTCAGCTTTCGCCATCTTCACCACAGTGGTCCTCGCCAGCAGGGCTGTGGCCCACCACAAGTAAGAATACTAAAACACACACACACACACACACACACACACACACACACACACACACACACACACACACACACACAGTAGGCAGATTTTCATGGAGTGTATTGCACACTTTGAAGCAAATACTTGTTTTAATAGAAGAATGGCCCTGTTTCCTCCTTCTCTACAGATGGTATCTCGCTAAGTTTGAAGACTACCCGAAAAGTAGGAAGGCCCTGATTCCCTTTCTGTTCTAAAAACACTGTGGGTACTGGAAGCCTGAAAATGTGCTGGTTCTTACACAAGATACCCATCATCCTTTCTTATAATTTAGGACAGCTCTGATGTCAGAACAGGACAAATGAAACACAGGTTGCACGCTTGTAAACAATCTCATCTGAGCTGCAAGCAAGCCACAGTAAAAAGCCATCATCCTCAGAAGATTTTCACCTATTACCTTTGGAATAATGTCCATGAAGCACAAAGTAACCTCAGCAACCGGGAACTGAATGTACTGGAAGACTTGTGTTTGCCGGAGAGGCAACATTTAGCGCTCCTCTGGAGGAAATAAGATAGTGAATGGAGCATACCTCAACACTAATACAGTGGATTTATAACACTCTGCTGCAGCAATAAACAGTTTTAAGACCCTACGCTGATCTGCATATCCTCCCAGATGGAACATAAACTTGGAGATGCAAAGCAGACATTTAAACTGTTCATTCATACTCAAGAGTCATCGGTTGCAATTGCATCTTTTTTATCTTCCATTCAAACCCATTAGATAAAAGGGGGACCATGAATTGAGTCCTGTCTCATTTTGCTGTGTGTGTCATCAAAAAGACTTTTCTACTTCATCTGAAACTCATGAAAGAGAAACCACTTCAGAACAAACGGTTACTGCATCTGTCCTGTAAAGACAGAGGCTGTAGCAGGCCGGTTCCACAGCTACTGGGCTGCAGGGAAATCAAATGGAGATGAAGCACGGCCCTCAAGAACTCAGCCATGCCTGAAATGAGAAGAAGAGAGCGTTGCCTCAGCACATCACCCCTGGCAGGGTGTCTGAGAAAGAGAGAGAAGAAGAAGAAGTGAAGGAATGAAAGGGAAAAGTATTGCAGAGCACGTTGAGCATAAATGACAGTGAATGGACGAGGCTGCGTGTGATTGAATGAAAGACAGCAAAGGGAAGAAAAAGGAACATCGGTATCGTTATTGATTCATAATCACTTCAACCATGAGCTAAATAATCTATTAGTGTGAGTTCTGACTTTTTCAGGAACCGTGTCTTGCTTTGTAATTATATGATCTGCCTTTTTCAATTTCTGTATTTTTTTCTCAAAGTGGGCTTAGTTGGTGGGATTACCTCATCACTTTTTCACAACTTAAGTTCAAATGCAAGTGAAAATGACATTGGCTGACGACACAGGTTGCATTGAACTTTAAACTGAAGCTTTTCACAAGGAGAGCACAGAAAGTGCCAGCTTTGTTTAACTTCTATCCCTCTCCCAGTCGAGGACAGTTTCCAAAACCAGTCACAGCCAAGGTCACATCATTTATGAATTTTCCAAATGTGTTGTATTTAAAATAAATGTATTTTGTCATTGATTTTACACATGGTTTCATCAATAAATAATAGGACCACTATGTCTGAGTGTGTTAAAAAACGAAGGCTGTATGTCGCTGAAGACGATACAAAGTGACATCTGTCATGTTCAAGGTCTGCCCTGTCTCTCTCTCTTTTCCAGACTATATCCTCTGTGTATCCTCTTTATCAACACTTCTTGTAATTGCATCACTATATTACACAGCCAGTATTTACTAGGCCTGCCATCTGACCTTAATACCATTCATCTTCAGGCAGACACCATTGGATTTTCTTTTTATATGCAAAGTATTCAAATGAACTGGCTTTTCATTTTCCAACTCCCAGATTTATTCACGCAGCCTGGAGATACCACCTATAGGAGAGGAGCAGCAGTTTAGACCTGCAATTACGCCTCCTACAGACAAAGATAGGAATAGGGGCTTTAATTTTAACACTTGCGCCACCTGCAGAGTGTTACAGTGGTATTTTATTTTAATGTCACATACTGTATGTGTGTGTGTTGATGACGTTTTAAGAATTCGGGTTGTGTCTATAAAACAAATGTTAGCTTTATAAGATTTTGTAAATTAAAGGACCAGTGTGTAGGATGTATCATTGCACACCTTCCTTAACGCCAAAAACAACGTAAAAGATGTAACGAATCAGACAAGAGAAGGACTCTCCACCCTATTTAAAGTTTCAGTTAGCTTTGCACAGAAACAGCCAGTTGTCCTTCAGAGAAACTGACAGGGTACTTTTATAGTTTGAGTACATTTCAGAGCCTGTACTTTTTCATTTAAATAAGTTAAATCAATGCTTCTGCTTTAGTGAAGAATGTGTGTAATTTTGCCACCTCTGCACACTGGACCTTTAATACATTTTGTTAAAACGTGTATGTGTGTATGCTAGTTATTTTCAGGAAATAGTCACCATAAGTGTCTGGAAAAAAAAACACTTTATATTCTGGCCATATACAATGATTATGTAAATGATATGAAATCCAAAGGTTTTTCACAAATAAATAATTTCAATATTAAGCACCCATTACAAAACTCCATCAAATTACAATGCAAATTTCCATCCCATGGGCTTTTGTGTGAATGTGTGTCTCTTAGAATAAACACACTTTATTTAGAATCATCTCCAAACGAACCAAAAATGTGTAAAAGGCTTGCTTGCAAAAAACTTAAAAAGCAATGCATGACAACAAACGTAAAGCCTCATTGCCTGCATGTGGTGTAAGTGTTGACATTAAAGACGCTATGTTACTTTGCCCGTAGATGGCACACATCCGCATGCCTACAGTACCTTTAGGTCTAAACCGCTGTTGTTGCTTTACTTGCCTGTAGGTGGCGCAGGTTGACTGGAACGGCAGGTCCAGATCGGTAGAACTGAACCTGCTACTGTGCAGATGGATGCTATTCGTTGGGCCCATTGTAACTCTGTCCTCGTTAGACTGTGGGGCTGACACGCCACAGGCAATATGTTCATGTGTCGAAATGTGAAATAGCTGTTGATGTAACAGTGAAAATGCAGCTTTCCACTAATGTGGGTTAAATATCTGGAACATGCTGCGGCCTCATTAAAATTCAAGCCACATGCAGTCTCAGACGACTGCCTGCTTCCTTAATATTATCTGCTATTACTGTGAAGCCTGAGAGCATACTGTTATATGTGTAATATATAAGTGTGTGTGTGTTTGTGTGTCTATGTTAGGCATCTGTCAGCCATGGTCCAGTCGTCACCAGTGTGGTAATCCCATAAAAGCTGACAATGAGGCAAACCAGCCTTGAAATCAGACACACACACACACGCGCACTGGCACACTGTCAGTGTTGGCGTTAAGGCTTGAGCTGAGACTGCGATACACGAGGGATGAGAGGAATAACCCATTCAATCTGGTGTGTCACTCAACGCCTGTGTTTCATACAGTGTAAGATAGAGGGAGATAGCATGGGTTTTTACAGGCGTACAGTGGGAGTGAGCAGCTGTGTGTATATGCCTGAGTGGGTTATACACAGAGCAACATATCCTGGCTGGCACATTAGTTTGCTCTGGGGGGTTTTCCTTGACTCTGTCACATGCTGCACGTGAGTAGCGGTTATGGGGGGGCGGGCATTATGCAAGACACTCTCTCCCTCACTCTCTTTTACATGCATACGCATCCCAGAAGGTGCTGCTGGTTATGCATTATCCAGCCTCCATCCGCTCTCTCCATCATGGAGCTTAATGGGCAGGAAGATGGCTGTTACTGGTGCTGGAATGATCAAGACCACCTGCTGTGTATTGCCCCTTGATAATGAGGATTTGGATTCACGGGCCACAGCGTAGGCTGCATCTGAAATAATAAACAGAAAAAGAAGGAGCTGCATTTACGCTTAGACAGTGAAAAAAGAAAACGGTGTGTGTGTTACCCTGTGGAATGCAGTGTGATTTTTTTTTTTTTTTTTGCTGTTTGTATGTATGTGAGCAGCATTTCAAGGGCCAGAGGTTGTGATTATGGCCCCCAGCAGAATCTGAGCTGCCAGCTAACATTGTCTATGTCCAATGTTTATGTAAATTGTATTTTGTTGAAGAGTAAAGGATTTCTAATATTTACAGTGCATTTTTATTTTTTTCTGTCAGAGCTTTCCTAAACAGAGGCACTGGAAGCTGTGGATCTTGGCTATCCACATTCAAATAACATATTCCCTAGGGGTCACAACCAACTATTAGCCTGAAAATCCACAGCTTTGCATCTTTATAACATCTTTACAATGTTGTTTTAAAATGTCTGCCTGTGCTTTAAGATTGATTATTGAGGCTAGGATGTTAACAGTTATCTGTCATCCCCGCGAGATTCAGCCACTGTCCGGACACATATTGATGGGGGATCCCCTTTGAACCCACCCACCCGCTCCCCCACCCCTTGCTGACGGCCGGGAGGTGGAGATAGAGGACCTCTCGGTTGCCAGTCCTTGCTTCAGGAGCCACTGGACCACAGGACCCCTATTCATTACTGACGTTTTACGGTGTACTTCATTTGTTGTTCAATTAAATATTTATCAAATAAAAATTCAAATATGTATTGTGTGTAATTCATCAGCCGGCCGGAGTGATAAAGGAGTGGGCGGATGGGGGGCGCAGTCATCCGTTTAAGAAACCCCTCGTAGAGCGCATGCGCATGGATTTGAAGAGACTACGCCATATTGAATTCCCGTAGGAAACGGCTAGCAGTTTTTTTCCAGCTAGCGGTGTAAAGGGGCCACTTTATCAATGCTCCTAATACGGTTTAATGTTTAAATACTTCTCCTTTCGTAACCCCGGACAGCGTAGCGACCTTTCACAGGTCCAGGAAGCGGCGCAGATTCACAACGGGTTCGCTAGTGTCAGTTAGATACTTGTAGGGGGGTTACCAGAGAAAGAAGTTGAATGGATCCGAGGGTAGCTTGGATTCAGCCCGAACAGAAAGGACCTGCGAACGCCTTATGGATGCACGTCTGGGAGACCTCTCAGGGAGTACGGAGACTCTCCGCTCAGCAGCAGCTCCACAATCAAAACCACAACCAGTGTGTGAATTACGCTGCGTTGGATGTTTTAAAAAATGTGGCAACCGCGGTGGCATCGAGCAAGAGCGTTTGCAGCGGCAACGGTAACGCTGCTGCCAGTTTGAGCAACGGCAGCAGCCATCACAGCATCATGAACGGCACTACTAGTATTAACGGCACTGCGATATCATCGCTGGGGATAGCGCTGTCCAACGGGAACGTACGTAACTCCTTCACCACGGCAAACACCGCTGAACCAGGTGAGGGGAAAACCTTGCCCCAGAAGACGGGATCTGTCTCCTCCTCGTCCTCCTCGCAGGAATCCAGGACGGACAACCCCCCTTCCAGCTGCTCACTTGAGAGGACTATGGGTGGAAATGTAACGGGCAACATTAATAAAAACGTCGGGGGTGCCAATATGATTTTTAACGTTAGAGACAGCATGGACAATAATGTCAACCTCTACCACCACCATCACCGTCACATACAGGAGCACCCGGCTTTCAATTTGCAGCAGGTTTGCGTGAAGCGCCACCAGGTTCACCCCTCTGTACCTGTAAATCAGACACACAATCACCACCCAGGCCGAAGGAAAAGCGACAACAAAGCGAGCACTTATGGGATGAATTACTTGCTTTCAAACTGCACTAATGGCAATTATGCGAGCACTCTGACTCCCTGGAAGACGAGGAAATACAACCCTGGGGTTCTCGGGTGAGTGGCGGAACACTAACGTTCACTAACTGCTGTAACGTTAGGTTTTAAAAGCTAACGTTTGCCTTTTTGCCGCTGGTTTTAATGGTTCAGTGTCGCTGTACGTACTCAAATATGTGTACCAAATATTACGGCACACACAACATGATGTGGCTATTTATTAACGTTACCCAACGCAGTTGGCCGTGTACTAGTACACCCAGCATTGCAGTGTGAACTGGAGTTGGGCTGTTTGCTGGGCAGCTAAAAAGCTACCGTTAGATTTGCGTAAAGACAGCGACGTTCGGCCCGAGCTCGACCGGAAGTGTTGTGTTTTTGTCTGCTGAAGTTTGAACTGGGCCGTTAATGAATTACAATGTCTGACAAACTATTGAGTAGTACTATTTCAAATTACACACTGCGGGGACGTGTATAGTAATATAATAATCATATTATTGGATTGTCTTGTAGTGTTTTTTTTTTTCAATGGGTGATTTTTATTAATTTATTTAGAAGGTTTTGACCGGATATGTTGTCTTATCGTCTGTTTGTTAGCCTGACCGAGGAGCTAACTTAGCTAACGGATTTTCCCTTTGGCTCCATGTTAAAGTTCAGCAATTTAAAAACCAAACTAATAAACTTCACCCGACAACCACATACAATCAAACCGAATTAGAAAGGAGAGTTGAAAGTCTAAATAGCAGACCAAAATACGTATAAGATACAACCACATACCCAGGTGTTAGCTAACGGGGTTGGATAACATTTAACTTGTGTAATGGTTTGGGAAGTTCTCCCTCGGGCCATCTCCAGTGTGCCTAAACTATTCCCAATATCTC